GAGCATCAGCCAGGGGCACCCAACTCATAGAGGTGGTAATTATTGGGTTTGATCATCATAATAAATTAACTGATTGCGTTTGGAAGGCTAAGGCCCAGTTCAAACGTAGATTCTTTCATGTACCAAACTAATCCCTTCGATCTGATTTGCATTGACCCATGAATTTAGTTTGAGTGGCCCATGTGGGAATTTCGACTATGGAGCGACTTCGTTTCATATGTCAAACTTTGCAAGTGCCAAATCTAATGCATAAATTACTTTGATAATGGTAAATTATTATTATTATTATTATTATTATTATTATTATTATTATTATTATTATTATTATTATTATTTCAACTGGTAAGCATTGTAGATCATTGTACCTCCTGAAAATGAATTAGGTCTGACTAATGAGGTTCAACTGTTGAATCAACCATCAAACGTATATCATTAATTTTGTGTCACCATTAAAGGTATTAAGTTCTGTACATGAAAAGTTTGAATTTTGAACTGGGTCTTATATCCAGCAGATAGCAAGCATGCTATCGTACATGTATTTAATTTCCATTTCTAGAGTGTTAAATTAAAGTGGTGTCTGAATGGTCTCAAATATGGCCAATATCTGCAGATAAGTTTTTTGGCATAAATGCACTTTTGAATGAGAAGTGTTAGCAAAAAAAAATTATACATGTCATACCAAGCACACAGCAACGCTCTTATCATTCTCTAACTAACTGTAAGCAAAATTTTGAAGAAGTTAAGGTGGCCATGAGCAAATCTTTGTTTAAATTTTTTGCTTCATTAACAAAAGTTATCATTATTGGATCAAGGTCTCTGAATGTTAAAAGAGTATAGCAATATTGGTAATCTCTAAAAGTTTGAGCCTGAGAAATCCAACTTGAATTTTTACAAATGCGTGGCTCATTAATGGTTTTGCCACCCAGCAATCTTGAAGTTTTTGATGGCTGCTATTTGCTTAGATACTGCTTGCATTGCCCTTAAAATTGCACAAGTTTGCTCCAGCTAGTTGACCAGCTCTTTCAACAGTTGTTGGTACTTAGGCTGTTTAGATCTTCATCTTTCACTTTGGAACAAATTTCAAATCGGCATAAACACATTCTTTTTGCTTTCCCCCACCTATCCTCTTCGCCTTTTCGTGGTAGTACATAAGGCCTCTCCTTTTGCTGTACTTAGTATGAAAAAGATAATCCATATTTTTATTGCATAATTATTTTTAGTAATAAATTAAGTTTATTGTAAACAAAAGTAAAAAGCAATAATTATTATTACAAACTATTCAACTCTTTAAAAATAAGTCATCATAGAATTGTGAGTAGCAGGCCTGTAAAGTTTGTAAAAACAAACAACGTTTCTAATTGCTAAAAAAGCTAGTTCTATAAGCGAATAATAGCATAATATTATTTTAAGGTTACCAGTCAGTATCAGTATTGTGTATTATCACTGTATTTGAACTGTAAAATTAACCAGTTTGTGTGCTAGGAAATGTCCTACTATTCACCATTCAAAAGGTTTTGATTGCAAATTTGACTTTGGATCTGAAAAATTACCGGACTTTTCAAGAAACGGGCACCATGTGTCTGCCATAAACTGGGAGCCGGGGAAAAAAACTGACAAAAATCAAGGACATCACAAGCACTACATATCCGTTTTAAGGAAGCGTCTGACTTATAAAGGTGACTATTTAGAGAGCTGACTGTATGGTGTTTAATTACAAACAGTCCCTAACAAAAAATAACAATGCTACATGTACATACATGTTCTACTTAGTCTTATAGTTGCAACATCATTCAACAGAATTTAATGCTGAATGATGTTTAACCAAGTTACATGATTGTACTCACTTTAGAATCACATTAGACGATCTAAAATGATATTTCTCCATAAGGATACCACTTTATGTTAAAACTGACTTTGCACCCATTTGGCAGACAAATTTACATTTAACTGCCAGTATTAATTTTATTCTTATTTAAAGGTAATTTGTCAGAAAGGAAGTTGTAGCTATGGATATCCAAATAGGTGAATAAATTGCTTTCCTGTGGTGCGAATTACTTTGCAGGATGAAGTGGTTCCGATTGTCCAGATTCTCCCTTAACCACCAATGATTTGAAAAAAAAATTTAGTGCCTTTAAGCCACACAGTAAATTTTTCAGTTTTCTCACTGCCATCAAGTTTGGAGTAAAAATATCAATTACTTGTGGTTTTGCTCTTGTTTAATTGTGAAAAGAGTTCATCAGCGTCTTCCGCAGTCTTCACTCGAATTAAATATGTTGCTGGTTTGCTGTTGTCACCCTCGCTGGGTTTGGAATACAAGGGAGGGTTTGGAACACACATCAAGATCACGTTGTTCTTTCCTGAACGTGTGATAGGTGTGCTTTCAGCCAGATAAATATTTAAAAGAATCTTCCCCAGTGTTGTGTCATTTCGTACCAGCACTTGTGTCTTTCCCTCCAGTTTCTTCAGGTTAAGCATGCCAATTCCCAATTCAGACCATGATGAATCACGCTTGAAAAACATCTTGCACTTTATGGAATGAAATGCCCCTTCCTCAGCAACTACAACACTAAAGCAGAATAAAACAAATTCAGTAGCTGTGAGCAAGAAGAAAGAGTAGACATGGGTGAGGAGAAGAGTGGGGGACTCTTTGTCAGAGAAGAAGATAGAAAAAGACAAAGAAGAAGTACGTGGCTTTGTTCCAATTGCCCCCGCTGCAGTTGCAAAATACACTGATGAAGATCTAAAGGGACTTAAACTTCCCACTTTGATAGTATACGGGGAGAAAGACATTACCTTTACCCAGTATGTGGATAAAATGAAAGACATCCCAGGCAGTGAAGTTTTCATGATGAAAGATGCTAGTCACCCTTGTTACCTTGACAACCCAGCGGAATTTCATAAAAGAGTGGTAGAGTTCCTTGACAAGTTACTGGAAAAATGAATGCTACCTTGACTAACCTGCATAACAGGCGCTTTATGAGCCAAGAAAGGCGAATGCAGTCATTAAGCACCAGTTATGCAGGTTATACCTTGACTACTTAGCCTGTGCAGCTGATGGAATTAGTCCTTTCCCGAGTGAGGTTTTGGGGGCAGAGCCTCATTCAATACACAACTCTATATAAAACAGTTACGCAGGCCATTGACGACTTTGAAGTCTAAGGGCAGATGTCAAAACTCGCCGGGATGTGCTCAGCATAGTTACTTATTTGCTAGTACTTCAACTTCATGTACAGTACAATAATGGTAAGGGCTCCTTTTCAGGAAACGAAAGTATTTCGCAATGACCGGAGTTATTGGTTTCATGAAACAATGTATAAAATTTATACATCTAATTTATTATACATATAATATGCCCCTAACCGTGATAATAAACACTAAGTGTTATCAGCCTCAGTCTTTGGCCTCAGTTGGTAACACTTACCTTAACCTTGATTATTAATTTTGCCTGGGTACACTAAAGGGATCGAGATGTGCCGCTGAGGCCTTGATCCAATTATTATTATTATTATTATTAGCAATTATTGCTCATTTTACTACCCATTAAAGGACAAGGGAACTTATTTTATGACACTGATTCATTCCATACAGAATTAAGTCATCTTTCATGTGAATTTTTGGAAAGAAATTGTTTTAACCACACATGTAGAATACCTGTTCATCACTAGCCTTCACACTCTTGAAAAGGCTTCTTTTCCAAGAAGGTACCATGATCTAGATGCTAAATAGTGAAATTGTTGGCCTACAATAACAGCTGTAGTCTCTCCTTTCTCCTTGCTGCTATGGACCTTTCATGGGAGAGATATTTAGTGATTCAGCCCCCCAAAATTCCATACTGATGATGTGAATCAATGTTTACATCATTAATCTGGTAGTCATGGGGTTCCAGATATAAAATAATTTAATTGAGTTTGTTTCTCCTGGTGTATTATTGTAAAGCTTTGAATTCTTCTGCCGTAGAGCAGAAGCAAAACTCAAAGCTTCTTGTAAAGAAGAAAGGGTAGCGAGCATCAGCCAGGGGCACCCAACTCATAGAGGTGGTAATTATTGGGTTTGATCATCATAATAAATTAACTGATTGCGTTTGGAAGGCTAAGGCCCAGTTCAAACGTAGATTCTTTCATGTACCAAACTAATCCCTTCGATCTGATTTGCATTGACCCATGAATTTAGTTTGAGTGGCCCATGTGGGAATTTCAACTATGGAGCGACTTCGTTTCATACGTCAAACTTTGCAAGTGCCAAATCTAATGCATAAATTACTTTGATAATAGTAAATTATTATTATTATTATTATTATTATTATTATTATTATTATTATTATTTCAACTGGTAAGCAGTGTAGATCATTGTACCTCCTGAAAATGAATTAGGTCTGACTAATGAGGTTCAACTGTTGAATCAACCATCAAACGTATATCATTAATTTTGTGTCACCATTAAAGGTATTAAGTTCTGTACATGAAAAGTTTGAATTTTGAACTGGGTCTTATATCCAGCAGATAGCAAGCATGCTATCGTACATGTATTTAATTTCCATTTCTAGAGTGTTAAATTAAAGTGGTGTCTGAATGGTCTCAAATACGGCCAATATCTGCAGATAAGTTTTTTGGCAAAAATGCACTTTTGAATGAGAAGTGTTAGCAAAAAAAAATTATACATGTCATACCAAGCACACAGCAACGCTCTTATCNGAATCACGCTTGAAAAACATCTTGCACTTTATGGAATGAAATGCCCCTTCCTCAGCAACTACAACACTAAAGCAGAATAAAACAAATTCAGTAGCTGTGAGCAAGAAGAAAGAGTAGACATGGGTGAGGAGAAGAGTGGGGGACTCTTTGTCAGAGAAGAAGATAGACGGAAAAGGAGATGAAACTTGGGCAAAAGAGGAGTGAAAATGACACTTGTGAACAAGTGGGAGGAGGGGAACTGTGGGAAAAAATAATCAAGTCACATGTAAGTGTGGGTGAAGCTGTCCTCCAAGAACAAGGAAAAAACATGTGGGATGGAGAGAGAGGATAGAAGGAATGGGAAGCAGGAAAGAAGGAGGAGGGGACAGCTGTGAGAAGACAAGGGCAGGAGCTTGGAGAAGAAAGGGTTAAGATCCAAGAGCAAAACCAAATAAACTAGTCCAGAGTGAAAGAAGTGCTTGCATTGGAACAGAGAGTGATGTGTGTGGGAAACAATAGACTTGGGGGTGGGGGTTGAAACACAAGGGTGGGGACTGGAAGACAAAAAGCAGGGTTTATCTTAGAAATTGGCCAATGAGGGTCAAATGGGCCCCCTTCTGTAATTTCAGGGGGTCCATTTTTTAAAAAAGGGGGGTCTTAGAAAAGGGGTCCCCCAAAAAGGTATTTGAACTTATTGGTACAGACTGTTCCATGAGAAAATTGTGAAATGAAATTATAATTAATTTACAGACTGAAACATGAGGTTAAAGTTACATACTGAACATAAAATGACTAAATGCTTTATCATAAACGAAAAGCTTCTTTGCTACATATACATGTATTCTGTACTTTCATCCAACATTAGGATGAACAATTTTGTTTCTTTAAGGCCACAAGTTTTAAGGGAAAAAAAGTCACTGTGATTCATGATTCACATTGTGGTTTTTCTACTCTCCTGTTCTTTTTCGTATGCCATACATGACAGACCTCATGAAAATCAAATTTGGACAAGGGAGGTCCTTCAATTGAAATTGTCATCAAGTTGTCCAAGGATCAACTCCCCTAACCTGTTCCTTAGGGCCCTTTTTGTTAAATTCTGGTCACTGAAACCATGTTACACATCTGCTGTTTGAAGACAGACCTCTTCTAACACCAGTTAGTTGGGGAATTCTGGCACATGGAGCTCCTGTATTATTCTTCAGGTGGGGAGGTCACCAGTTTTGTATTGCTGAATTTTCACAAGGTTTTTCAGATGGCTTTAAGTAATATTTATCCTTGGGTCAATTTTTGTGTGCCCCATTTGATGTGGCAACGTAAAATTTTATGTGGCATCTTTAACCAAACTGCGGAAATCCCAGAAGGTAGTGTTCTAGAATAAACGCTGCCAAGGTAATATATGGCAGTGGGAACTGGGAGAAATGGGGGTTGGAAATTAATACATGAACAGCTGTAGGAGAGAAGAGCTGAGAATGATTGGAATGAACCTAGGAGAGATACATGTAATATTATTATATGATAGAAATGGTGTACACGGAGCAGAAGGAGATGAGGTGGTCAGTGGAGAATGAGATTATTAATTGTGGATCATATGGAAGAGCCGGTGTTGGGATTTGAAGGAAATACATTGTGTAGAGATTTGGCAGAGAAATCTGGCAAAAGAAAGTACATGTGCATGTACGTAAGAGCTTCACGTAACTTTAAACTTTTCTGCCACAAATTTTCACAACCATACATGTGCAGTGTATGTTCTTCAAGAAATTTACCTTCGTGGTTTGGGAACTTCATCTTCATTAGTCTCTTCTCCTGAAGTTCCAGCCACAGCTTCCTGTCCAGTACTTTGTGTTTCTATGATCAAAACATTTTTGTTAATACTTAAATTAGCATAACTTTCGAGGGATTTAATTAGCTTTTAATGTCAAAACCCAAAGATAATCATAGACTTGCTACGACATTTAGTCAAGAAAAGATTTGAAGGAACACATGGAAAAAATCCTAAGTAATTTTCTGAGAAATTGCCACATTCTCCTGTTCCAAATTACCTTTTTTTTGCTTGTAAAGCATAGGGGGAATTGAATCTGACAAAAGTCTTGCTCCATACACTCTTTCAATTTATCATCACTATTTTATATGTACAATAAAAATATGATATGTCAACAAGCGTGGAAAGCTTCTATTTGTTAAAACTGTTAAAAGTCCTTACTAAAGTTCAGTTATTTTAAAAAACCCTATAATTACAAAAAGCAGAGAATAATAAGATAGAGCCTGCATTAGTTACAGAGTAGCTCTCTTATAATAAATTGCCTCCGTCTAATAGACACCAACTATATGACAATTACTCCAAAATACTATGAATTAGCAAAAAGGAACAAAATCCTTCACTTTATTCAGTTTTTGGCTTGATTAGCAAGGGTTTGGATAATTATTGTGTCTTGTTCAATGTCTAGTTCAAAGTAAGGATAGGCTAACAATAACAACAATCTCTAGACAGCTTAAATGTATCAAAAACATTGATAAACTCTCTTGATATTTTGACCAAAAGCATGATTACCAGTTTTGTTGAGCTTCTTACAGTTAGGAGAATGAACATTTCTCTCTTTTAAATGCCCCCTATCTATCAAACACCCCCTCTTGGACCCCTAAAGTAAAATAAAAACCCTGGGAGTCTATAAGATCATTTTTGGTAGAACTAAAAAACTTTTTAGCTAATCAATAATAAATTGGATGAAAGCCCTGCTGCTGTTTAAATTCATTTACATGTAGTTTTCAAAACAAGTTTGTCATGCTCACCTGAATTGTTTGCATCTGATTTGTTTTCCTCTGATGTGTGTGGTGGCTGAGATGGAGCAGTGAAGAGCGAGGGTGTTGTTGTTACAGGTTGTGTTAATGAGCTTGTTACTGCAGGTGATGGATTGGACATTGTAACTACCTCTTTTGCTGCAAGGGTGTCTGTCTGCTTCCCAGTTCCAGAAAATTTCTGGTCAATGTTCTTCATATGTTCCTTATAGTCATTAAATATTGGTGTTAAGTCCACATACGGGTTCAATTTTATATGTTTCTGGATCCATGAAGAAACACTTTCATTTAAAGCCTTGATGTTGTCATTATAAGAACTGCTAAATTCTTTAGCTGCTTGTGAGTTTTCTGTAGAGATAGCTTTGAATCCATTTTGATTGTTACTATTGCCAAAGGAAAGGCTAGGTGTGGTATTAGTAGATGTAGATGTTGCACTGCTGAACATATTTGATGAGCTTGAAGACAGACTTGATATTCCAGTTAAAGGCTTGAAGGTGAGAGAGCTGGAGCCAAGACCCTTGGTGTTGCTGTTCAAGCCAGCAAATCCTGAGAAGCCTTGAAAAATGCCACCACCCTAGTGGTGAAGAAAAAAAACACAACAAAAACTCACTTACACAGATCACTCCGATTAACATGTTGAACTTTACGAGTGCTCCGAGCTCATAAATAAATATTGTTGACAAATACAAATGTATACATTTAGGAATGTAACACCTTTGGTGTTTTCTTTTCAACGGACTCAATGTGTGGTTCTAAAAAACTGAAAGTCCTTTTCTAATATATTATTTTTGTACGTTTTTGTTGTGTTCTAAGAGACAGCCCCACAGCTGTGCTTAATTCTCTCTATTGAGGGAGTTTTGTTTCATTCACCAGGGTTCATACAAAAAATTGCAACCTGTTTTCAAGTATTTTTAAAGTACCACATCAAATTTTCAAGGACCAACTACCAGGAATGTAATTTTCACAGATGGTACATAAATGCACATTTCCCAGTCTGCGATAAGAGAATTTTAAGCCCTCAAATGTTCGCCCCATCTCCTTCTTGACATTTTTCTGTCTTTCGTCAATATAAACAAGCATTAAAAGAACACTTTCCAGACATCATTTGCCGAAGAAGCCGACGAAACATGGAACTTGTGATTTTAATAAAAATACTGTCATGTAGTACTCAAGTTGGACACACAACCACTGGAAAATTTGCATTTGACTGACTTTTGAATTGGATTACTTTGCTTTCCAATTTCTATGAATAGAGCGGTTTTCATTTGAGTGTCGAAAAGTAATTGGTTTTGCACTTTCTACACGATGCAATTGGCTTAAAAGATTCGCGCCACCTTTTCATCCAATCAGAAGTAAAACCAAAGCCAATTGTGACGCGCTCGCATGCATTTTCCCGCGCTTTGCGTCAGCCACATGTAATTACTTCGAGTTTTGATTGGTTCATTGTATTGTCTGTGTCCTATGTGATTGGCCAGAGCAATTACTTTGGTTTTGGTTTTACGACACTCAAACGAAAACCACTCTAAACTGCTTTTACAGAGTTTAAAGTCGCTGGCAAAGAATACCTAAGTCTAAGAAAAGCAATTTACTTTTGACCCCACTACATTCAAAGCTCAAGAAAATTCAAAGACATTTCAAGGACACATAAAGAAATTGAAGAACTTTTCAAAGAAAAATGGCATTCAAGGACTTTTCAAGACTGTGCGAGCCCCATTCACATATGATTATGGGTAAACAGATTTTTCCTTATATGTTTATCAGTTAGCTGTGTAAATTTGATTATTCCTGATGATCCATTTTGAAATGTTGGCCAATTTCCAATACTAGAGCCTATACCTTTCCATTTAAAGGTAATGCTTCTGATTGGTTGTGCCGTTAGAGAATTTCTTTCAACCAATCAAAAGCACTACGTCAGCAGTTTGAAGTTTTGATCAGTCGTCTCTCAGCAGCGTGCAAAGAAAGTCATGTCCGATAGTTCAGGGGCCAGTGGATTTTGCTATCGGGCTATTGATTTTTGTTCCTCACTTGCCCAATGGGCAAGTGCCGTTTTTTGGGCAAATTCAAATAACAGAAGGATTGTAATCAGTCCTGCTTATCAAAGAGGTGTTGGGGGTTAGTTGAAATGAATTGTGGGCTAGTACATGCTACAATCGGCGACAAAATTAGTTGAGACACCTCCGGAAAAAAGACATCTTATGAGCATGGTTTTATTTGTTCTTTTTTCAAAAGGTGTGAAATACCTTTCAATGGTCCCCCCTCCCCACTCCCCCTATTCAGTGTTGTACTGCTGGCCTTAAGGTTTGTGGGCACTCGGAGACGACCCAACAATGTCAAGGGGGGAGGGGTGGGGGGACCCTTTCTCAGGGTAGCTCAAAACACCTCTTTTTAGGAAAGTGTCTCAACAATTTTGTCGCCGATTGTAGCTACAGCTTGCCTGAATGGCACACTATAAAACTGACTTTCTTTGCACCCTGCTCAGAAATAATCATTTCACAGGAAAACTGGCGGTGCCATCACCAATTCTCTACCCTTCATTAACATACAGGGCCCAGTTGTTCTAAAGGTGGATAATGCAATCCACAGGATAAATCACTATCCATCGGATAACGCAATGGTTTCCCTAACATTTATCCACTGGATAGTCATTTATCGGGTGGATGGCACTATCCAGCGTTTGAACAACCGGAGCCTGATGGATAGCGCTATCCAACTTTTGAACAATTGGGGCCAGGACTGAAAAAAAGTGAGGGATTACTCTGAACTATGTACAGATGTACTGTGATCACATTTTCCTAGCCCATCTTAACATACCTGTTTATCTGGGTTTACCGGTACTCGTCTTTTAGCCTTGATAATCCTTCAATATGAAAATAACAGACAGCTCTCATGTTGTATCGAATACATTAGTAAAGGGCAAGTAGACGAACTGTTCTAGTCAACTGCATCCTCAAGTTCACCCTAAGTTGCCTTTGAAGTGATTTATCAAAAAAAATGACCTACAAAATTCTGTTGTTCACTCACTTTCTTTTGCTTAAATCTTCACTGGATGCGACCCTGAAATGTCCGGCCTGCGGAGATATTATCATCAGAAATTAGCTAATTAATAACAAAATCTGCGCGCCGGCCATGCTTTCGACCACACCAGAAACATTCAGATTTGCGACTGTCTCGCGAAAAAGGCAGAGTACTAATTTCAAATGGAGGAAAAATAAATACAACAATTTTTAAGCTTAAAACGTTTAGCCACCTCTTCTTCTTCGTCTTCCTGATCCCAGTTTTCTTGCGTTAGCTCTCTCTCTGCAACTCTCTTCGCCATGTTGATCTGCAACTGACCACCTCGCTTTGGACATGCGCCACCGGTTGTAGGGGCATAGAATATTCCGTAGGAAATTTAGCTTACCCGTTATCTTTATAAACAAAAACAAAGCAGATCAGCGTTTTAAAAATACCCCTCCGCGCAAGTAAGGGATTATTTTACAAGCTTTCAAATTTTCTTACTTACACAAGAAAAGTAAACAGTTATTCACCTGACTCACCTGATCTAGATAAACAAGAGGAAATTCTCCGGTGGCCATCTCAATAATACCCTCAGGGTATTCAAGTTCGTGGCGGCCGCGAGCCCCTTCATCCGGGCATTTGCAAGGGCTGCTCTCTCGTTGGCTGAGCGTATTTGGCCATTTCATTGCATTTCTCTTGAGAGAGCGTATACATGGTACCCCTCAGAAGTTTAACCTTTTAGAAAGAACGAAAATCCCCGGAAAGAAGCAGCGTTTATCGGTCATGGAGTTGGAAAAATTGCGAGCGCAGTTGAAAAGCCAACTTCAACAACATCAGGTAGGGAATTTTCTCCTTCGCACTGCTCTGACAAACTATCTCCACAACTGTTATTTGCATGCTGATGAACCAAGGTTTTTGCTATATTCTAACTACTGAATGTTCATTTATATCGCGCTGTTGTCGTTCTTAACTTTGTTGAACAATTATATTGGTACTCTACACCACAACATGTAAGCTTGTAAATTCTAAAACAGCTTTTTCGTCGCGATAAATAACTCTAGGAATTCTTCGAACTCAAGCGAACCGGCTACATATTTAATCAATTCAACTTGAGCGGCAGACAGCCTCCTCTATTCGACTTTACTTGAACTTGTTTCGAATTGCTTTATTTTCTACGAACAGCTTTATTTCGTTCAAGACTTAATTTTCTCGTCATTTTGTACTCATTTTTTGTAGGTTCTTATTCAACAGATCAAAACAGACCCACAGGTAAACATATTTCGCTTCTTTTATAATCAGAATGTTTCAGTGTGTTGGGTTTCAATTGTTTTGCCCTGGCGTAGTTTTTATGAAATATTTTTCTAACCCAAATATCTCTCTTCCACAGAATCCAGACCTTCAGAAAAAGTTGCAGAGTCTACAGGCACATATAACCAGCTTAAGCGAGCAGCAGGTAGCACTTTGCGTTCCAACATATATTTTTGGGAACAAAATATTAGTGGGTACATGAAAAATCACATGCAAATATAGGGAAAGAGTTTTGGTCTCCCCATGCAAAGAGGGTGGTAAAAAATTAAAATTCAGGGTATTCATTTCTTTGAACAACCAATCAGAAAACGCCAAAATCCCGTGAGACTTGTTACAGGTGTGACATGGCGGAAAGAAAGAGCTTCTTTGCCGCGAAATCTCGCCAAGTTTTAGCGTATATTTTCCGATAAAAAGAAAAATCTTACTTCGAGTGATAATTTCGAAAGTTTGAACTTAAGTCAAGGTTGAAGATATTTGTTTTCGTTTTCTTTTTTTCGCCGAGGTCGCTTTTGTCGGCGGAAGTGATATCATAGTTTTTTTGGTTTTCGTTTTTTTATCGTCAAATTATTTCCGTGTCAAGGATTTAAATGATGTTTGGGTTTAAAGAAGTTTTTTAAAGTGGAGACCAGTGATTTTCAGTGATGCGTGTAAAGTGGGTTTTTTTAGCTTACTCTCAAAGAATTCTGGTTGTGTTACTTTTTCTTTGGATCATTTGCATATTTTCACAGCAAACATGCCAGAATTTAATAGTGTTATTAGTTCTTCCTTTTCAGGAGTGAAAAAAAAAAATAAATAATTTTTTAAAAAAATTCTCTCCTCCTGCTAAATTAGAGCATCACACTTGTGTGCAGCAAAATTAAAAAATACCAAATCAAATGATCATCACATTGGGTATAAAGGCCCATTGCTTTTTCCCAATCGAATTTTTTATTATTATTATTATTTTTTTGTTGGTAATTGCAACAGCTGTTTTATGCTGCAAAGGAATCCACCCATTAATATTATTATTTTTTGTAAGTTAGTACTGATGGAAGAAATTGAAGGCCTCTTGGAAAATTCATCTTGAAGTTGCGTGCATGTGAATCTGGATGTATTTGAAACCGCATATAATAATAATATTGTATGAACCTTTCATCCACACAAAACTAGTGAATCTAGGTCTTTGTTACTTTGAGTTGCACAGATCTAAAATACATTATAGATTTAATATAAAAAGGTTTGCCGCACGGAGTATAATGGATCATCGATTGGTTGGGTAAATCCTATCATTTCTAGTGATTGATTTTAAATTATTAGCTGATTCCTAACACTAGGCTTGAGTGCAGTTTATTGACACACTGTAGACTTATTTTTTATTGACATGTGGTATAAAGAAAGCTATGCCTTTTTGGTCTCTATTTGTCAGTTACCAGCCCTATAAGTTATTCGTTAATTTATTATTATATT